TAGTCACGTGCGAGTGCCACGGACACGGCTCCTAAAGGGAGCGATGGTAGACACATCTCCCTTTTACACTCTTTGTAGCTCAATTTACATCAATTACGCCCAGCACCTGTGCCAACAGTGCTGACCCGTAACAATGTGTGGGTCATTCAATGCCTTACATGTGAGAGATCCAGCTTCATAGCTGTCAGCACTCTTTCTGAGCCTACAATTTGAAGAGCTAATACTTCATCTAGAAGCTGTCGCAAAGTTGAAGTCTCATTACTATGCTATGTCGTTGGCGGTATCACCTGCGGCACACATGCAGGGTGCAAGCTCGGTACGAGTTCAATCTGGTAGGTAATCGTGCCCGCCCCACTTTTTCGGATTTCGCTTTTCCCCCTTTTTGTATTACGCCGGAGGTGTTCCCCATAGGGCCACGACGCTAAGCTACGGACCTACTGTACATGTATGTATGTGTATTTCACCCGGAGGATTTCTCCTATAGGGCCTAGACGTAAAAGCTAGCGACATTTCAATACATTAATGCGTAACACCTTAAGCCCCACGACCTACTGTACATTGTTCCATCTCACCCTCGGATTTCGCTTTGGTGGGTGAGTCGAAGCGAAATCCGAGAAAGTGGGGCGGGCATGATTAAGGCGACCAGGAAAAAGCCAGTACGTACCTACTTCGTGACCGATGGGTCGACGGGAAGTGGGCCAGATGCTCAAAGTTGCAAGTCACTTGTTGCAGCATGCGCTGTTGATCTCATGCGTAACAAGCTGCTTACGGGCTGGCTGCGCAGTCCCCACTGTTCTGCGCAAGATATTTGCGCAATCGTGCAAGAGCGCAAAGCTTAGCAATCCCACTGGATTCCGGTTTGGGAAGGTGGCACTGAAAGCGCGCGGGGCTGAAGCGAGCAAAATTACTAATATCTGCGCAACAATTTTCCTCATGCTTTCTACTTAATAATCATTCCTTGCGCAGCTGGCGCAACGTGCGCACAAATCCTCGCCCCAAGCCTTGCCTGCACCAGGTTTAGCAATCATGGCGGGGAGTCAGCAGCCACATATCGATGCGAATCTCCAAGATGCGAGCGGAGGTGCGAATCTCGCCAGCACGGTCATTGAAGCCCTTCGACAATGCCTCACCGAAGAACAGACCACGGACAAAGCACCGCCTGGGTTCGACAGAGCTCTAGAGGCTCTTTCCCATCAGACCATACTTCGCGCGCCTTCCTAGATGCTGGATTCGGGGTTTGGTACGCGTATTTTCTTGCGACTGAACGCAACCAATTTCTCAAGGATTCTGCGGCCCAGCTATCACCTTCCAATCTACGACACGTAGTCGCCGAGGTATCTCGAAGTAACACTCACGATTCCGTGAAAAGACGCATTCACCACATCATCTTTCGTTCTGACCGTAGCGCTAAACGTTGCAGTAAGTCGTTAAGACTTTATGTTCGCCGTTGGCTAACATTTCAGAACTGCTCAGATTGAACAAAGTCGAATTACCCGCTCCACCGGAGGCATCGACCCCCGATCCAAATCCACGTCCTACCCAACGTTCGCGTCTTGATTGCGAGCAGCAAAGTCTGTCTCGAGAGCCGGACTCGACCGAAACCTATCGTTCGCAATTCATGAATACAGATGTCATGACACAGGAAGATGAGGGCTCGGATTCTAATCCAGGCCGAGGACGTGCCCAGCCGGACACAGTACTCGCGAGCCAGAATAAGGCTTGTGAATGGATGGCCTTTGATATCGACTCTAGATATCAACATGCCTGGCCGAAAGCCAAGAATCTTCCCTTCGTCTTCTCACATTATATTTGCACTGCGGTCACCAAGAGGACTGATGAGGCTTCTGTTATGCTATCCTTCCCATCAGATCCGACCGATTGTCGATTGGTTTTCGATATATCCGCAAAAGAGGTGCAATATGTCGCTAAGGAAGTTTTTGACATCCATATTCGGGAAGAAAATGGACGACGACGTGTCGTTTCTGAGAAGGGTGCGACCATGGACATCAACAGCAGTATAACGCTAAGAGGGGGCATAGCCGTGGCTCTGGACAGTATATTCGGACAAATGGTAGGTGCAGCAATTCGACATAGTCCGCGACGTATAACCGAGCTTTCAATGGGTGCTATGCTATCGGAGTGTTTATCTATGGAAGTCTGGGACATGGTTGATCATCCAAGTCGGCTCAACTTCATCGTTGAGGCACAGAATCTGACCTTATTGTACCAGCAACTTTGGCGAGCTTGATTTAGTAACTGGCATCGATCAAGTCTTCTTTCTGATTTCTCCCCAGTTAAATAGACTGAACAACCTTCCGGCAACATCCATTGCCCAGTGGACCTCATGCTCAACCAGCTCTTATCCGCAGACATTTTATAGTAGGCAGCACAGTTTTTCCATAACATAAACTCTCTGTTCATGTAAACCCCGACGCCGACTTCCATCGCACTACTAAAGGTCGTCTTGTCAAGATCCTGGCTTGGATCCTGGCTGGGATCCTGGCTTGGATCCTGCGCTTTGTGTTAGCTACGTTTTGAGGGATATGGATGGATGGACCTGCCATTTGGATGGCCTAAGATGGGGAGAGGTCTTCGGTATGTGAGACGGCTCCAGTGAATGGCAGTTGACCGTCAGCTCTTCGCCCGAGGTACCTTTGAGTTCTTGTTATGGATTCCTGAGAAATACAAATGATCTTCTTCAGATACTTCCAAGGGTCTGAAGGCTTGACTGCTGAGTCTCAGGTGGTTCGACGGGAAAAACAGGTGTAAGCGGAGCTCCTGCCGAGGTGATCCGTTGAAGCCTGACTATTCCTCCTTAGGCTCTGATGACGCAACCTGTTTTCACCTAGATAAATGTGGTAGAAAACATTCATTGCGCAGATTCTGTGTCTGCGCGGAATTGTGGGTATCTCTGCGCAGAGATGCGGGTACGGGACGGGATGATGCCTAGATTACCCAGCGCAACAGCTATAGCGCGCCACGAGCAGTTGCGCGCCAATGAGTAAAAACGCAAGCAACGTGCTAACGACTTGCAGATTTTTCCAGCCACCTAGCCTGCATGGGTTGAATGGATGGATGGATGGATTTATTTCGCCCGGAGGGAGGTCCCTATAAGGCCTTTACACAATCTAGTTACATTTCAGCACGTTTGGTACCTAACTCCCCAAGCCCCAAGGATTGTTGTCTTGTCGCTTGTTGGTCAACCTCGTTAACATTAGTCTCATGACAGGCCTGCTTGAAGGCCAAATTCTCCAAGTGTTCAGCATCCTATTCGCGGCAGCTGAAGCGCGGCCTGCCAAATTCGAAGCTGAATTATGTTAGTAAAGTCGCGTGTTGGAGTTCAATTATCTCCCGGTGGTTGCTGATCCCTGTCGAGCCTTTTCGTCTCAATCGCAAATTTGATCGCCGCACGAACCGCCTGCATGTCTGGCGTCCATTTGTCGCCGTCCGACGCAGCTTTTCCTCCCAAGAAGAACGACAAATTCCCAATTTTAGACCTCGCGCATTCGAACAAGACTCCTCGTTGCGCTGCCCACTTTTTGCATCGAAAGAGAAAGTGATCAATCGTTTCTCGTGCCTGTCCACAATCACACAAATCCGAATCTGTAGCTCCTATCGCATGTAGGTATCCATTCAGTCGCGACATGCCGGTGCGGAGCTGGACGAGAATGTCGGCTTCTTTTCTTGACAGAGAATCGTAAAGAGTGCGGGTGTGCTTCCCTGGCAAAGCTCTGTCGATGCGTTTTGAGTGTTTTCCCACATTTTCCGGAAGCTTGTCACGCTGTTGTCGAGCGAGTGCCAGACGAAGGGTGGTGGATCTGGCTCTGCACGACGGCTCCTCTGCCACCGCTCCTGCTTGAGTTGCTTTCTTCGCTGCCGTCTTGGCGGCCGATGCCCATGCGAGCCGTACTTCCTTGGCTGGTGCCCAGGTGAATTTCACAGACCAGCCTCGCCTGACTAGTCGATTGACATGGTCGTAAATTTGGCGAATGATTCCTTGGCCGGATTGCCTACGAGGACGCCTGATCACTTCCAGGGCTGAGCGACTGCTTGTCACAACCGTCACTCCTCGACAAGGCGGGTCCGTCGGCGTACACATCAGCGCCATAGCTATCGCTGCCAGCTCCGCCGTGTACGGGTTCTGCTCCTCCGCAGTCCCGAGACACACGGAATAGCTGGCAAGAACGACGCTGGAGCGGTTGTGGTCCACACTGCGCACCACGCCTCCCATCCCCACCATGCCGTTTCTTTGCGAGCTGGATGTTGCTGTCACAATGCCTCTGGCATCATTCGCTGCCTTGACGGCTTTCGCTTTATCGCTCTCCAGCATTACTTGGATGCGGGGTGTCCACGGCGGCAAGGCATATTCGTGTATGTCTTCTATCTGGTCGATCGGCACTGTTTGCACCGCTGTGACAATCTTCTGCATCGGCGACACGAACCGCCTGGTTGCACAATTTCTCAACGCTGCCAGTGGATGTGTCACCGGCAATACAGCAGCCGGTGTTCGCTGGTCGTCACCGACCCAACTACTAATCTGCCCCTTGCCTGGTTAATTCACCGAGATCGGACGGGATCGGATGCTTTCAAGCAGGTGTGGCCGTATGTTGCATGGGTTGATGATAAATTGCCTGCTGGCGAGATAACCGCGGCTCAGATCAACCTGCGCGGCGCTCCATCCCCGACCCCACGCACCCCATGCTCATCATGAATCGGACTATCGGAGGCTGCGTATCCACGTAGGATCATGTACCATGGAAATGGCAACGATCTTATGCGTTCTAGCGGGAAATATATGTACGCGCATGTCCTTCGAGACGATGTTATTCGTCTGGTCAATTTCAATAGCCACAGGCGGCTCTCCATACATATATAGAGTGCCCAAGTCAGGAGGTTGGCTCTGTGTTGGATCTTCAACGTTCCTGAGTCTCAGTTATACAGGCTCCGTTCTTTTCGATCCAAAATTCTGGGAGTTCGAGTTTTCCGCTTTGTCTGCCACAATGAGCATCTTTCATTCCGATCCTATCCTAGTTCATCTCCGAGAGGAAGCCATTAATCGGGATGAATGGGCCTCAACTAGGTTCTTTTCGAGATACTTCGCTCGACATATCTTCTCCGAGATTGAGTGGATTCACGGCACCGAGGTGCCTCCTCGAGAGCACCATTCTCAGTTGCGGATGGATATTGCTGTCCAACACTATTCGACTGGCCAGAGAACGTTGATGTTTCGGTTGATTGGGCAGGCAAAGAAAGGACGCGCTACTCCAGCGAAAATCGTCGAGGTCGAAACTCAGGCCTACCAATTATGCCAAGCGTACATGATCGACAAGAGTATACGATCAGTCTGGGCAATAACCTACTTTGGTTCCAAGGCTCGTTTGTGGGCATGTGAGCTCAAAGGTTCTGGCTGGCTGGATCCATTTTATCCTCTCGAGGGGGGACATGGCGAAAGAGATGCCTATAGGGACATCCTTGAGTTCGAAACCGAGTTTCTCTGGGCATTTCAGAAGATCAAGGCCATTGCTGTACCAGACCCCGAAAGCTTCGACGATATCTATGCCGAGGAAGGGAACACCACAGTCACACAAACCCTTGCTGGCTCATCCTACAATCAATCTTCCACTCAGGCCTACCATCTCGATGGATCTTCAGCGCAGTCCTATGATGCATCCATGGACGTCGATACGGAGCCGACTTCCGCGTTCACTCGCACAGTCAACGGAAGTGAATATAGTTCCGTGCAAATTTCCAAGGTCGCAGACGGTTGGACTACTCTTAGGCTCAAAACGGCAGCAAAGTATCTGTTCGCTGCAGCAAGTGGGACAAGGCAATTATCATCAACAGAGATGGCAGCCGGAACACGGGCTTTATCGCGGAAACAACGAATAACAAGTACCGAACATGGGATGACCCGACCGGCAAGGGCAAGGGGAAAAGCCACGGATTAGTTCATTAGTTTCTAATGACATGCTCTAGTTTCGTTGCCCCGTTCTCAAACCAAAAATGCAAAACACCACTCATCTCACAGCACGTCCAACAGGGCCCAGCGTGATCGTGAACCCGCTCGATAGTAGTGCTCACCACATTGACCCCCCGCAGTTCTTCGTCCATGTGAAGTTGCCGGCATGTAGCGTTGGCAAAGCAGAGGTGCGTAGGCATTTCATATTCTCGGGCTGGATCGATGCCCAGTCTGCATTGTCCAAGGGCGCGCCGCAGCCCGTCCTCGTACTGGATCACGATGCCTCTGCAGATCGCTGTCTCTGGAATGTAGAAAATTTCCAGTCTAGAAGCGCGCTCGAGCGGGGCTGATGAGAAGGAAGAACTTATCGCAGCCAGTGGCGGTCTTTCCTGGGGAAGATTGGTGTTCTGCAATCCGTGGTTTTTATCTTCAGAGTATGCGCCGACAAATGAGATAGGTAAACCATCCGGCTTGTCATATATGAGCGTTAGAGGCTGCTTGATTACTGAGAAGCTCGTCCTATAACGCCCAATGAAGATATCTTCGGTAAATTTTGTGCTTAGCTGCTACCTGTTAGACGATTTACTTCAGAATATCACCTTGCGTCTTACCAGGAGACTTTGTGATCTGGTAACATTACCAGCTCGCCTTGGTACGTGACTAAACCCGAACTTTGTGATCTCGCCGTCGATGGGAACATACACCCAGGAAACCAATTTCTGTCGTGCGGTTGGAAGCGCCTCGAAAGTACTCTGAGCAAACGGACGATTACTTGTATGAGCGTGTACGGCATATGTTGAGCCGCATGACATAAAGAAAGTGATGCCTGTACAAGCGCGGAGCTGTACTGTACCAAGATGACAAGGTGGTGGTGGTTTGGACAGATCGCTGAAGCAGCGTTCCAGAGGAGGTGGAGAAGGTGTATCCCAAATGTAAAACTCATTTGCTTCGCCCGCGGGAAGTTGCAAACGGGCCAGGTCAAGCTAAGAATAATAAGTGAAAGCCGTCGTCGAGTCTACCGGAGTGACGAACCTCGAACTCTACAAGCACGCCAGAGAAGCGCTCAACAGATTCAACGACAAATGCGTTGAAGTCAGATCCTGAGCTACTCCTCGACGGGCGCTTGCTCAATCTCTTGATGCGTCGAAGCCCTCGCGAGTCGAATGTGAGATGGATAATGGGGCTATCAGGGTTGTCGCTGTATTCCAGCTGACAACCGCGAGCCCATGACTTAATATCGATGAGAGGGACGACCGATCGTTTGTGTTGCTTAGAAGCTGCCATTTCACCGCGAAGGTCCGAGACAGCGGTAAAAGCCACAGAGGGCTTGAGGCGCAAAATTCCCAGATCGTCGATTTAAGTTCTGGAGGCAGCAACAGCATCCGGGGCAGTTCGTCCAGTATCCCATAAGGATTTTGGTAGCCCACAGAAGGTTCCACGTCGAGAGGCAGAGCACCTTGCCAAGGACTCCTCCATGTCGCTGCGAGCCATAGCCATCGTAGCCTGGGACGTCCCCCTTGAATTCAGACAGGAAGAGTTTCAGACAATGCGTATGAATTGTAGCACAGTCCCGAGACAAACGGCAGTGTCTACAATCGGGTATGCGACAAAACATCCATGGACGATTATGCTGATTCTCGCAATACCCAGAGTCGGGAAATTTGGATTTTCCGAAAATGTCTTGACAAACTATGGCGATAACGTCAACCGTAATTCTGCCAGCTCTGAAGAAAATAGAGTGCTCACATGCATAAAGGGTCACCGGGATTGAAGCGGAAGCCACGCTCCACACCGAGTGGACACGTACGTGCTGGTTTTCGGTCATGCTTTGATGTTGTGGAGGTGAGTGATCGGCTCCGATGGATGGAAATAAGGATGCCTCGAGATCCCGTCCGTCCTGTCGGAGCTCCTTGTCGGAGATCCCCTGCCAGGTGGACGCCTAGTGTCAGTACGGTGGTTCTGCGGCTCTGACCTCATGAGGCACGGCGGATTAAACCGTTCGATGCAGCTTGCGTGCCACTGGCAAAAAGGTTGTGTTCTTGTTGGGGTCCCAAAAAGGGTGTCCTAAGTGTCCCTGAAATAGGGGGAAATCGGCTGGGGCCACATTACCCGTAGAAACTCACTAAATTGAACTGGTCTTGGCGGTCTGGAGCAGTGGGGGCTGCACGGATCAGCCCCACAGCCAACTTGTACCCAAGATCAATCTGCCTAGTCCTGCCCTTAAGGGATTTTCCGGTGATCTGCCGGATCTTACGGAGGACGATAGGGGACACATTTCGACAGCCTCCATGGCGTAGTGGTGACACGTCTGGAGCTTCTGCGTCGCAGAGGGGTCGGTTCGAAGCCGGCTGGAGGCACCCCTGAGCGAACAGGGTACACCCGGGTTCCCGCCCGTCAAGAGGGAATAGCGTCATGAGAGAACACAATCGGCGTACCAACCACCATCAATGACTAACACAACCACGCTTCAACTTCGACACATCGCGCTTCAGTTGCTGGGAATAGGATGCTGAACACTTGGAGAAATTGACCTTCAAGCAGGTCTGTCATGGAGCGAACAGTGGAATGGTTGGCGCAGCGTAAGATGATCTGTGGGGCTTGGGGTGTAATGCATCAGTGTATCGAACCGTCAATAGCCAGAGCGTCTAGGCCCTATAGGGACCTCCCTCCGGGCGAAATAAATCCTACTACTACTACTACTACTACTACTACCACATTTCGACACATGCCTCCATGGCGTAGTGGTGACACGTCTGGAGCCTCTGCGTCGCAGAGGGGTCGGTTCGAAGCCGGCTGGAGGCACCCCTGAGCGAACAGGGTACACCCGGGTTCCCGCCCGTCAACAGGGAACAGCGTCATGAAAGAACACAATCGGCGTACCAACCACCATCAATGACTAACACAACCACGCTTCAACTTCGACACATCGCGCTTCAGTTGCTGGGAATAGGATGCTGAACACTTGGAGAAATTGACCTTCAAGCAGGTCTGTCATGGAGTGAAACAGTGGTACGGTTGGCGCAGCGTAAGATGATCGATCTGTGGGGCTTGGGGAGTCAAGGAACAAACGTGTTGAACTGTACTCTAGACAGTGTAAAGGCCTTATAGGGACCTCCCTCCGGGCGAAATAAATCCTACTACTACTACTACTACTGTTGCAAAGGGCCTCCATGGCGTAGTGGTGACACGTCTGGAGCCTCTGCGTCGCAGAGGGGTCGGTTCGAAGCCGGCTGGAGGCACCCCTGGTGAAACAGGGCACACCCGGGTTCCCGCCCGTCAACAGGGAACAGCGTCATGAGAGAACACAATCGGCGTACCAACCACCATCAATGACTAACACAACCACGCTTCAACTTCGACACATCGCGCTTCAGTTGCTGGGAATAGGATGCTGAACACTTGGAGAAATTGACCTTCAAGCAGGTCTGTCATGGAGCAAAAACAGTGGTACGGTTGGCGCAGCGTAAGATGATCTGTGGGGCTTGGGGAGTCAAGGAACAAACGTGTTGAACTGTACTCTAGACTGTGTAAAGGCCTTATAGGGACCTCCCTCCGGGCGAAATAAATCCTACCTACCTACCTACTGTTGCAAAACTCCCTTTTGGGTCTAGGCTCCCCTGGCCCCGGTCATATGAGTACCTCGGGTTGGTGTGGAAAATGTACCGCGGACTAGCAGCGGGCCCGCACGTTGACGCTCCTTGAGTCCGTTCACTACCCTCCGGAGGCGGCGATGGTCCAGCGCCATGGTCTTTCGCTCCAGGGCTCTTCTCAGCTGTCTCGTCGAAAGAGGCCAAGCGGGATGTTGCAATCAGCGACAGGCCATATCAGTTATTCTAGCAGAAGTGCTGTTGGGATGTGCATCTCACTTTTGGCTGGATGATCCATTCGACACGGGAGCTGGTCCTGGAGCGGCAGCAAGCTCGTAGTTGTTGTGATGCGCAGCAGTACGCCAGGTAAGGTGCCGATTCAGCCCTAAAGACACGTACAGCATCAATAGAGAGACCTACAGATTCAAATTGATCAATGGCTCGTCACTCTTAGCAGGCAGAAAATCCTTCACCCTTTGCGCAGTCCCAACACGCAGCGCCAGTACTGTTCCTTGCGCGTAAGCGAAACAGGTATACACTTTTGACGAAATTTAACTTGGGCACATTCATTCCCAGGGCCTTTAATGCCTCGTGTGACGCGGGGACGGGATCGGGTGGGAGGAAAAAATACTTCGAACACCCGTTAAGTTGCCCAGGCAAGGGGCTTAACGGCTGAATATCCAGCTCGAAGGGTAAATATCGTATACCTGCAATTCACTTTCCTAGGGGGAGACCCCCTAGAACCCCCCATTCGCCTGCCGCGCGCAAACCAGCTGTTTAAACCGCTTCAAACCTGCACTAAGGGAATTGACTGATAGTTGTTGCAGCGGTGGCGTTGCACGCGGTTGACCACCATTGATAGGAACTGAACCGTAAGGGGCTGCTCCAATAGATTGCCGATCAGGGGATTCCCTTCCCCAGGCGCCTGTATTCGCTGAGGCTCTGGGTTGACAGCAGATACGTGATATCCCCAGATGCGGGCGAATTGCTCCCGGACTGATCGTTGTCAGCATCTAAGTCTGGGTGGCCACTTAGCCAATATAGGCCGTGGTGGTGACTGGAACCCTGCCCTGCCACTCGTAACGGCCCCAAAGTCCGTTAGGTTGAACTTCTGCTTCAGGACAATAGTCCTAAACAGCGTATAACGCTTATGGAAGTGGTAAGCGGCGACGTGGGCGTTGTCTCGCAGTAGTTGCCGGGACAGGACCATGCGCGCCGCCTCAGGAGCTGCTTTCCACTCTTGGAATCGAGGCATGTGACGATATAGGCCATAGGGACTCCCAGTGGTAATCGGCCGCACTTGCAGTAACGAAAGGCCAGGTCTGCCCAGATTGTAGGCATATGCTTCCAATTCCTTTCTTTGCTTATACCAATACGGCCGGGTGCCCCTGATTACCGCGGCTTGGCGCG